TGAAATCGACCGCGACGTCGAAATGATGCACAGTGGGACTTTTGTACCAAAAAGTTGGTCAAAGTTATTTTTTGACGAATTTCGGTTTAAAACGTGCTACTAATTACATATAAAGTGTCCCATTTAAAATCCTCCAGTCAAATATCTCGAAAAATATGGAAGATACGGAAAAATATTTCGGACAAAAGTTGCATGGTTTTAAGGGGGACATAAAACAACTATATCAGTTTGTTTACAGATAACGCCACTTTCGAGATATTCACTGATCGTTATTTTTCTTAAATGGAAATCCCAATTTTTTATTATATCATCTTTTTCTGTCAACTAATTTGAACAACTTTTGTCTAAAACATTTTTTTATTTGCCTAATACTTTTTGAGATATTTAAGGAAAACTTGGTAACTTTTTCAATATTTAACTCATGATATCTTGCTAACTTATTGTCGAAAAAGAAATGGTACTAGACTTTTTTACTCTATTTAGTCTCAAGGATATATTGTTACAATGGCATCCTGATTTTTGTTAATTTGATGATTTTGAAATTTCTAAAAGTCGATAAGTTACTAGTTATAGAAGTCGATAACAAAAATTAGGGCTATTGTAACAATATATTCTTGAGATTAAATAGAGTAAAAAAGTCTAGTGCTATTTTTTCTTCCGACAAATAGTTAGTGAGATATCGTAAGTTAAATATTGAAAAAGTTACCAAGTTTTCCTTAAATATCTAAAAAAATATTAAGTAAATAAAAAAATGTTTCAGACAAAAATTATTCAAATTAATTGAAAGAAAAAGATGCTGTAATAAGAAATTGGGGTTTCCATTTAAGAAAAGTAATGATCAGTGAATATCTCGAAAATGGCGCCATCTATAAACAAATTGATATAGTTGTTTTATGTCCTCCTTAAAACCATACAACTTTTGTTTGAAACATTTTACCGTATCTTCCATATTTTTCGAGATATTTGCCTAAGGGATTTAAAATGGGACACCCAATGTGTATGATCATTATAAAGATTCCGTATAAGTTTTTCATAAAATAAAATGCAAATATATATGTAAAAATATTTTAATAATTAAGAAAGCATAATATTGCACATCAATAAGTATTCAAACTAGACAAACTCCAATTTTCTTCATCTAATGAGTGTATTCCATCTTCAGAATCAACATCATTTTCATCTATTGAAATATCTCCTCTTCTTGGTGTGGAGTCAGTGAGAACCATATTCCATGTTTCCTTTAAAAATGGTTTAGATTACTTTCTTGGTACAGGTCTCATATTTGTTAGTAACGAGTCAGGACTTAGTAGAAGTCTGTTAATTATGTCCATACTACAAAAGGAAACAAAAATAGAACAAAAAGGAACAAAAAGCAATTTTATGCTTAAATAACCTTTGGACAAAACCTAATTTACGTTTAGGGAAACAAAAGTAATTACTAAAACTACATACGCGGTTTTCCGCGGCTAATTCTTTCTGATATTTTATCCCGAGAGATTACTCTTTCATTTTATCCGAGAAACATAACGGGGATACATCTTGAAGTATAACTAAATCCCTCGAATTTGACATAGAGAATGCAAAAAGATACATTATTGAATGCTATTTTCAAAATCGTATAACTACGTGAATAATAATTCAACTGCAATAAATATAGTCTAAAACGTTTCTTCAACGAAACAATCCATAACGAGAAATTTCGCGCTGCCACTTTTAAGAACTTTAAAATTTTGATCGAAGATCGTATATTATAAAGCACTGAGAATTGATGTGTGCAATACGAATAATGCCAATTCCGACTAACCAAACCACTTCATGTTATCGCGGATGAACAAAAGCATAACGGCTCATTACTCCGCAGATATTCAACTGTCTGGGACAGTCACTCATGTAGAGCAAGAATGATTGTAAGAAAATTCACTTTTGGCCAGCTTTTCAGGCCAAACGTCCCACTGTGCAACGTCGAAACGTTTCGAAGCCACCGTGAGCTCGCGTTGTTTCACGCGCGTAACACGAATGAACGTGCGTCATTGATCTTAATGTGGCGATTTCTCGGTCACGGGTTAATTATCCAACCGGTTTAAATTGAATCATCAAGAGATCGACATGGTTGATCGCTGTCGGTCGACTCAACCGATCGTAATCTGATCAGGTGTAACAAATGGACAGTAAGACGTGTACGACCATAATGTTTATTACGGACGCGGGACTGCGGTATATTCTTTTTTCTCTCCCCCTTTTTTTCTTCTATCACAATGTGTGAAATTATTTTATTGAGGACAAGACGAATCGTCGCTCGTACGAAGGCTATTGTGCCGCGCTATGAGGCAGGAAGGAAGTCTTATCGGGATGAAAACGTGCGGTGTTGCGTGTGCGTGTGTAATCGCGATTGACAAGACCGGTTGATGTCATACGCGTATAAATATATCTCTGTCTCCACCCCACCTTCTGAAATTATGTAAATTACGTATCGGTTTGACGTGCCTTAATTAGTCAGCGACATGCGTGGTGTCCAAATATAATCTTGCGTCATCATTCTGTGTTTCAAATATCGAGACTTCGTGCAGAGAAACGCCCGTGGGATTCCCCTATTACATAAAGATGAAGTTGGTACTATGGCCCTCCCCATCATTATTTTTCTTAAACGGAAATCCCAATTTTTTATTATGTCATCTTTTTTTATTAATTAATTTGGACAACTTTCGTCTGAAACATTTTTTTCCAAAATGTTTAGTTTTCGAGATATTTCGCCGTCCTGATACTTTTTATACATCCTGTATATTTATTCAGATTTAATTCTTAGAAGGGGAATAATAATAATGAATATACCTATAATAATGAATATAATATGCGCAAATTTTTAATACGGATATTGACTTACTCGTTAGGAAATACAATCGTTAGGAAATATTGGGTTGGCAACTAAGTGATTGCGGATTTTGTCGACAGATGGATTTTACACTTTCTTTTGTTTCGTTAACGTGTTCAAAGTACCTAACCTATATTTTTTTCTTATTGTTTGGACTTCTACCTTTCATTTAGTGCAACAATTATATCGATTAGTTCTTTAGTTTTGTTTTTATCCCAATTTAAAAATGGAAGAGCAAGACGTGCACTTCAGACATATTTTATTGTATTATTTCCGAAAAGGCAAGAACGCGTCGCAAGCACACAAGAAGTTATGTGCCGTATATGGGAATGAAGCCTTGAAAGAAAGGCAGTGTCAAAATTGGTTTGCCAGATTTCGTTCTGGTGATTTTTCATTGAAAAATGCTCAACGATCTGGCCGTCCAGTTGAAGTCGATGAGACCCATATCAAGGCCATTATCGATTCAGATCGTCATAGCACAACACGTGATATTGCAGAGAAACTCAATGTATCGCATACATGCATTGAAAAAAATTTAAAAAAGCTTGGCTATGTCAAGAAACTCGATCAATGGATCCCTCACCAGCTTAAGGAAATTCATTTGGCGCAACGCATTAGCATCTGCGATTCGCATCTGAAACGCAACGAAATTGATCCATTTCTGAAAAGACTAATTAATGGCGACGAAAAGTGGATAGTTTGTAACAACATTAATCGGAAGAGATCGTGGGTGATGCAAGATGAACCAACCCAGACGACATCAAAAGCAGAGATTCACCAAAAAAAGATTATGCTGTCAGTCTGGTGGGATTATAAAGGAATTCTGCACTTTGAACTTTTACCAAACAACTAAACGATCAATTCAAACGTGTATGTTCAACAACTCGCCAAACTGAGCGATGCATTTCAAGCAAAGCGGCCAGAAGTGGCAAATCGTAAGGGTGTTGTTTTCCACCATGATAATGCAAAGCCCCACACATCTTTGGTCACTCACCAAAAATTATTGGATCTGGGTTGGGATGTGTTGTCACATCCGCCATATAGCCCTGACCTTCAGACTACCATTTATTTCGTTTCATGCAGAACTCCTTAAATGGTAAAATTTTTAATGACGCTAATGATGTCAAATCACACTTAATTCAGTTTTTTGATAGCAAAGATCAGAAATTTTATGTGAACGTGGAATTATGACACTGCCTGAACGATGGCAAAAGGTCATCGACAAAAATGGACAGTACCTAATTGAATAAAGTTATATTTTTAAGCAAAAATTTTGAATTTTCATTCTTATTTAAAATCCTCAATCACTTAGTTGCCAACCCAATACAATCCGCTAGAAAGAACATAAGTGATGGACTATAAATTATTTGTCAGAAAGAAAAATGGTATTAGACTTTTCTGCTCTATTTAATCTCAAGAATATATTGTTATAATAGCGCCCTGACTTTGGTTAACTTACAGACTTTTCCAAATTTCAAAATCATCAAATTAACAAAGGGCGCTATTGTAACAATATATTCTTGAGACCAAGTAGAGCAAAAAAATGTAGTACTAATTTTTCTTCCGACGAATAATTAGCGAGATATCGTGAGTTAAATATTGAAAAAGTTATCAAGTTTTCCTTAAATATCTCAAAAAATATTAGACAAATAAAAAAATGTTTCAGACAAAAGTTATTAAAATTAATTGGTAGGAAAAGATGGTGTAATAAAAAATTGGGGTTTCCATTTAAGAAAAGTAATGATCAGTGAATATCTCGAAAATGATGCCAATTGTAAACAAAATAACATAGTTACTTTATGTCCCCTTTGAAATCATACAACTTTTGTGCGAAACATTTTTGTTGAAAATGCTTCGTTGTAGAATTATCGAGGTGCATTTTGTAAAATAGGGCATCCTGTATATTTTCCTCTCGAGTAGAATTTTTCCATATAAATTTCTCGGATATAGCGAACAAGAATAAATAATTATACTTTAGAGATAGAGATACCATTGACATAAATGAGATTGTTAGCGACGAAATTGATAGTCCTCGGCCATTTCTCACTAGCAGTAATCCTCAGTAAGATTTGTATTGTTGGCGAGACACAACGTCGCACATGTCTAAAAATTTGTGTTCTCTTTGTCGCAGGCCCAGTCGGACGACGACGATGTCGCGGACGACGTGTCCGTCAACGTCGGGGCGCCGGATGATTTCATGACGGAATTCTTCGCGGAGGTAAGTGACGAACCAATTCATTGCCGCGCGGCGCTTTATTTCCGGCGCCGCGATTTTCAACGATCGAAAGTAGGTTAAACCGGTATTGTCGGCGCGCAAAAGAGAGAGAGAGGGGGAAGGAGAGAGAGAGAGAGAGAGAGAGAGAGAGAGAGAGAGAGAGAGAGAGAGAGAGAGAGAGAGAGAGAGAGAGAGAATCGTGCTTGCATTCTTAACGAAGACAATGCTCGATTTCTTCTCTCGCTCTTTTCGACGTGGCTACAGGGAGATAGGCGAGCAGATTCCGCGAACGTCTCGCGCGGGATGACACAAAGATATCGTTCGTATATAAATTTCCGTCGTTGAGACGCGCGCTCGAGTTCGCGGACTCAATAGCGGGGCGGCGTATTCCGTGAAGATCTCCCGCTGCAATTCTTGCGCGATGCTTTCGCGCGTCTTATTGATCGCGTCGGTTCAGACTCTCCACGGAGTTTTAATCTTTCGCGCCCGATAACGCGTAACGCGTCTTGCGAAATGAAAAACGCGCGCGCGGCCGCCAGAACGATTTGTCGCGTTTCCGTAATTTTCGCGATCAAAATCGCGACTCGCCGACGTGAAATCTCCAATGAGCATCGGCGCATCGCGTCAATGGCATCGGTTAATCAGCTTATACAGTATTACGGGGCGGAATTGCGAGCGCACGCTCAGCTCTTGCTAAAAACGGCACGCATTACGCCCTCGCCCCTCCCTCCCTCTCTCTCTCTCTCTCTCTCTCTCTCTTTCTCTCTCTCTCTCTCTCTCCGCATGTTAAATATATCGAGGATGATTATAAATGTTTCCAAAATGATTATCGGCGCACGGGAAAGTGTAATTAAATTTCGCGTTGCGTCGGTGTATCAATTCGGCCAGAGCGAGTATGCGTTGCTTCCGAAATAAATCCACGACGTCGCATTCACTTTGCGAAAACGGGAAATTGCTGTCTAACTACAACCAGCGGGTCGCTCCTGAGGAGAGGGGAGGAAACAGTCGGGAAAATAACGAAGTCAATACGCGATTTTCGTTTTATCGTACGCGTGCGATAATAAGTCGTTCACTCTTCCTCGATTGCGGGAAAGTTGTTTTGCTTGACGCGTCGTCTCTCTCTTTCTCCTCTTTTTCGCGAGATTATGTGTGTGATTTGTTGTCACGGATAGGAGAAGTCGCGTTGGAATACGAAATAATTCATACCATCCTAAAACGAACGTATTGCTCGTCAGATTGCGAAAATTCGAAGACGGCGAGCGAGATAGTTTTATGATTTCGGACGGGAGAGGGGGGTAGTTGCGAATTATTTTATCGAGCCAGCATGACGATTCGTAAACTTTCGCTCCAAACGAATGTCTGTTATAAACACAAGACTTGAGGAAGGTAGCAATCTGTTTACTAAGAACGTGACCGACATAACTTAGTTATTATTTATTATTAAAAAATAAGAAAAATTATACATATACTACTCAGGCAGTACTATGACGTTTAGTATTAATAGGTCGTCCAATTATCGCTGTTGTCAATTATTGTCTGACATCTTCTGAGCATATTTTCTAGCATGTAGAAAAACGAATCGCTTAGGCATATGAAAATATCAATCGCGATTGGAAGAATGTTACTTTTTCCGTTGTGAACAGATGAATAAAGTGGTATGCAACAACAAATATCATAGATGATCTGCCAGATCGGTAAGACAAGGAAAACATCGACAAAAAGGATAAACAGATTAAAGAAAGATGGTTAAAATTGATTAGAGAGCATTAAGGAGTTGTAAACACAGTCAGTAGGTCGAAAATATCGGCTTTTCAAAAATAATTTTTTCTGAAAATATATTATTTCAAGAATATTCTGTAAAAATTTCAAATTCATTCGAGTAAAATTCGCCGAGATATAGGCTGCTATGCATGCGTTCCTCCGAGCGCTCGGAGAGCCGTTGAAACATCTGCTCCGCCTTCTTGCTCTATTATGATTATCTAGGAATCCCCACTTATTTTACTTTTTTATTTTAAAGTATATGGGCCTAGAATAGACGACACTGTGTAATTTAAAAAAAAATTAATATATGTTATTCGCTTTTAAAACTTTAAACGCGTTTTTCTCAAAATTACATTTTTAAAGTCGGTGAGCAAGATATTTTAAAAACTACAGTATCGATCACTCTGAAATTTTACATATTCATTTTAGATATAAATATCTCGTGATTGATCGATGGATTTATTTTTCCGAGAAATATTTTCTGTTTTACGACCAAAAAATAGGCAATTTTTTTGATAAAAATCAAAACATTAATTTGAAAGAGCTGCCATTTTGTTATAAATCAATATTTTGCAAAACCGAACGATTAATCACTAGCTATTATCATATGAAATCTGTTTGATTTTTTGATTTCGGATGATTAGGCTTTCAGTTACGTTGCTCACCGCACATTTACATTTTTTGAAAGGCACCTGCGGAGACTGGCTACTACGCGCTTATAAATTAAAATTTTGATTCAGAAAATTTTTTAGACATTCTTAAAATGTTACTTTTTTTCAAATGTATATATAAAAAATGTATTTATAAAAAATAATCTTTCAATTAAAAAGAAAATCATCAGAAATCTCATTTTTTTATTTGACTGTATATAATCATTTATACCTAAGTAGTAAGGGTTATAATGTATATAACCCTTAATACCATTTGCTGAAAAGTGGTTTCCAGGCAAAAATCAAGACTGGATTTTGAAAGAAGACAACGATCCAAAACATTGGAGTCGTCTTTGCTGCTAGTGGAAAGAAGAAAATAATATCGAAACATTAGACTGGCCGTCACAATCACCAGATGCAAATATCCTGTTGAAAATGTTCAGGGATTAATGAAGATGAAATTGCGTGGAAGAAAAATATACGTGGTGAAACAACTATCTTGACAATTGCGTTCGATATGGCGACATCTTTACCTCGACCTCGACAGCGTGCTGAAAAATTGATAGAAGGTATGCTCGGAAGATGTCGGGCAATAATTGACAATGGCGGTGATTGGATGACCTATTAATATAAAAGCGTCATAGTGCTGACTGAGCAGTACATACGTAATTTTTCTTATTTTTTATAATAAATAGCTCAAGAGTTATATCGGTCACGCTCTTAGTAAACAGACTGTAAATATACATGTAAATATATTTTCTACCGACTGTAAATATACATGTAAATGTATTTTTTACTGACTGTACATTCGATATAGCGCTAATCCGTTTCGGTCGAGTCAGCGTAATGGCAAGCGTAATGGCAAGCGTGGTAAAAACGTTATGAATAAAAGAGCAGCTTGAAGAAAAGTCTATTCGCGAAACTGCAGGCGAGACAATTGCGTGTAACGTAGAATGCTCTCTCGTTTTGCCCCTTCTGTGTTTTGTGTTCTCTCTCTCTCTCTCTCTCTCTCTCTCTCTCTCTCTCTCTCTCTGTTTTCTCTTTTCTTAAATATAATTACTTCTGCTTCTTTCGCTGCTGCTGTCCTGAGGCGTTGCCTCATTCTTATTCATACGACCCATTTACGGACAAACGCCTTAAAACGCGCGGCAGGGAGATAATTCTTACGCGACGTGAGATACGCTTTTCCTGCGTGTCCTGCGGCGGGACAAATGTCCTCTCCGAGCGGCGTTCGTCCGACTTTCATTCGCGTGAGCCGCGTTGTTGCACGTTGATTCGCGGTTTCCCCGATATCGAGCAATCTTCATCGGCGTAATTTTGCAACGATGGCGTGTGCGGCGTGTAACTAATTAAAAGTTACCTCGATATCCGACTGGGCTTTAACCACCGCGTCGGTGATCAATTCGCGCTCCTCGTCATCGTCGTTGATCGGCGCCGGTTCAGGGTGGCGAGCGAGAACGAGGAGGGCAGAAGGAAGGGAAGGAAGAGAATGAGCAGGAGAAGGAGGATGAGGAGTGAGAGTAGGGGGAGGAGGAGAAAGCGGCGGCTCACGCGAATAGTATATCCGCGAGAGAGAGAGAGAGAGAGAGGGAGAGAGAGAGAGAGAGAGAGAGAGAGAGAGAGAGAGAGAGAGAGAGAGAGAGAGAGCGCACGTTATATACAATTATCGCGTCGGCCGGCGATTCTGCGACCGGGCAATAATTATCGTGAGGACGATGCGCCATTTCTCACGCGGCCGTTTCGCCGACAGTTTCGTAGGCGTGCGTTTGACATTTACGAGCGCGCGCACGGTGGCCGCCGGCCACCGACTGCGGAAAACAACGCTCGCGGAATCCCATCCGTCCCATTCCACCTCACATCACCTTCTCCATCTCCCCACCCTTCCCCGCGGTCCTGCGGATCCGCGGACGGATTTGAACCGAATACGCGATGCGATTCTCCCCGGACCGCGAACAATTCAAATGCAGATGCGGCCGCTCTCCGGAGGGCGGAACGCGGGGAGAGGATGGGGGGGAGGGGGGACCTGAAATGTGACGTTACACCGGCTGTTTTCTTGTTCTCTCTCTCTCTCTCTCTCTCTCTCTCTCTCTTTATTTTTTTGTTTTCTTTCGCCGCTCCTGATAAACGATTGTCGCGTCGCACGCGCTCTCCGCGTTATATAAGCGTGAGACACGCAACTAGCAACGTCAGCGAGTTGCGTTCTATCGCGATGTTGTTTGAGCACATACAAAGCCGCCATACACGAGAGCGCGGCAGCGATCGATGTGTTTCACGTAGCCTCGTCTCGCACGGATGAAAGTCTCGCTCGAAGAAAGTCGGCGCGAGTTACAGGTCGCGGCGGGTAAATGCGATTATTTTACGGCCGCGCGGATGGCTGTGAAAAATTTACGGCCTGTCGATTCGTTCGCTATCGGCCGTTAAACGCGGCGCGGCGCGTGCGGAATTTTCGCGACAAAATGTGACCGCGACCGGCGTCAGACGCCGATGGATAATTCGCAACGAGCGCTGATTTGCGTTGCTAATAAAGCGACAACGGCGCGACTGCAGGATGCAATCGCGCAATTTCGACGTCCGCGTGTTCCCTCCTTCCCT